ACAGGGCAGGGCAGGGTATGAAAATGTTACCCTGTGATCACCTCTGGGTTTCAGGATGATAAAATGATTGTTGTAGATCGACGATTAAGACTACGGCATACAAAAAAGTTAAGAATTGTTGATGCTTCAATTATTCCAAATTTAATATCTGGTAATCCAAATCAAATTACAATGATTATTGGATTGAAAGCAGCAGATATGATTTTAGAAGATAATAGTTGATATTTTCTTCTATATAAAATTCGTGCTGAAATTATTTCTGTTTTCACTGTATTTCTAATTAATTATTGTGAATAATAAATAAATAATACTATTAAGTTACGATAAAAAATCAAACTGAACGATAAACTATTTCATATAAAATAATTGAATCGATAAGAGGTTTGTTTACACAGTTGTATAGCGATTTTATTCATTATTGGTTACAATTGCATTTTCTTGTTTTATTTCTCATCGTTCACAATAAATGCATTTAAAAGACATCGCATTTGCTTAGCAAAATAACTACATAAAAAAGCTTCTATGACGATTGGAAAAATATTACGCTTACATTATATCAAGTGTGCAATAGTCTTTTTGTTACTAAATACTACATTTATATCCTATCCCATTTGCCGGCGGTATCTATACTTATAATGCTTTTATGGCAGAAGGTCCAATCACATTTCAAGCGTCAAATGGATCTTGTGAGTTAATTAAGAATACACTGTTAGATAATTCAGTCCAATTCAATTCAATTCAATTCAATTCCAATCAATATGTCACTGCAACTGTGATATCGTCACAATTATTGATCAGTTTCGATCATCAACTAAGAATAACTTTTTATTGTCTCTTATTACGATTCGCAATACAACTCGAACGAGGATGTGGGTGTGAGTATATTCTCTCTCTTAATTCTCCCGCTCACCCATATCTATTGCTTCTTTTTCAATCTAATATTTAAGTTTGCATATCATAGAATCTATATTATTATTAATAGGATCCTTGATTGATATGTTTATTTATACAACATCTCTATAGTATGAGAAATAGATAGACGCATGTATACAAAGATAGGATAAAAATATCTTTATGGATTAAGATATCCAGCAATATGAATAACTTCAAAACAGAAAACGATGTTTCAACAAATGAATACCAAATATCTAATATTTATAACACCTTTCATACAGTTTGCATCACACAGTAGGATATAAATAGCATGTTCTATATGTATAAAAAACAATGATTACTAATTTATTATATATTCTACAAAGAATGAATCTAATTTAAATAAAAAAAATTAGAGCTAGTTCAAGAGAAAGAGTAAATATAAACATATGAACATTTATACAAAAACAAAGAAAGAACACACACATTGAAATAAAATGTCTAGAAGTATAATAAGACAAACTTAGCTAGCAGAATTAACCAAAAACGACTCCTGAAATATAAAGCTGAAATGTGAAAGCAATTCCCTGACTTAGATTTGTGTAGGTAGCTGAAGTTACTGCTGAAAAATTTGAAACACCAGAAAGAAAATATTGAGATCGATTTGCCACAGCGTATAAACTACCACCACCTGTACTAAATCCTACTCCAACATATTGACCTGTAACAGTGGGAAGTTGATTAACGGGAAGAGATATTGTTTGAGTTCCATTTGTACCTGTTGTAATGGATGCATATGGTATTTGATACGTAACACTTGGAATAAATGTAAATGTTCCAGCGGTTTGATTGAATACATATAGAAAGATCATGGGTGTCGTTGTGCTTGGTGCTATACTGAATGAAAAAGAAACTTGTGATACATATGCTTTAGTAGATATGCCATCTACTCCTGTAATAACGTCATTTCCATTGATGATCACAAACGTATTGCTATTATCATCAGTTCCACTATTTATAATAGTTCCATATGTTGCTGTAAATAGAAAGCAAACAAAATATGTCATTTACTATTATATTTTACAAGAATTTGATCTAGTTTTAACATTGAAATTTACTTACTTGTTAACGAAAATGTATTTCTACGTACGAATGTGACGGTTCCTGAACCACTTGCAGTAATATTGAAAGTGCCTGTTGTAGTTTGATTTGAGGTTGTAACTACCAAAACATATTCCGTAGCAGATTGAAAAGTATTTGATATGTTAAACCAAAGTACTCCAGTCGTTTGATCATCGCGTGCAATTAAATTCGTAACTGGACTAACAGCACTGAAGCTACTATTGTACAAATATCCATAGAATTTCACACTGCTAGCACTAATACTTGTAACTGTATAGATTCCAGATGTACTAACAATCATGTCAATGGCTTCATAAGTATAATTTGTTGATGTTTGATTTATACCACCATATACCGGACTACTGCTCGTAAAAGCACCCTGATAAACTGATTGAATTGTCGGCGATGTTGCTATGCAATAAAAGAGAAGGGAGAGAGTTTTATAGTCTATTGAATATAGTCTGTAATATAAAAAATTCGCAGTGAAAGATCATGTATTTTCTAAATAAATGCATTAGTGATCCAATATTTCCGACTTTTGTGTTAATCGCTTCTCATTAAGTAACTGCGACATAGATTTTATACTTGCTTTTAATAAGTGGAAGAAGTAAAATACTGTAGACTGATGTCGGGCACATTGTGGAGGCACTCTATAAAATAATACTTACTAGTAGTTGTTGTAGTAGTTGTGGTAGTAGTTGTAGTACTTGTAGTAGTTGTGGTAGTTGTGGTACTTCCGGTAGTTGAACTGATTGTTGTTGTGGTGCTCGTGATGATTGTTATCGTGGTAGTAGTACTGGTTGTTGTACCTAGATAACACAAGTAAGTAGAACTTTCGTAGATAGCTCTTTCCTTCATCTTAATCGAATTTAGCAATGATATGAAGAGTATGTGTGATCTGTTATTTATGGAATATGATGTTAAGTATCAATTTATTCATTTCATCAAGCTTTCAAACTAATTTTTTTTAGCCAGTAGATTTTATTATTCTACAATTCAATCAACCTTTGTTTCCTTAATTAAAAAGTAGAAATTGACTAAAACTATTTTATATACAAGAGAATAATATTATCATCGGAGAGATCTTGTTCTAATGGAAAAGTATCGCAAAAAATTGTAAGTTGTTTATTCTTACTTGTTGATGATGTGATGAATATCAAAGATTGACTGTTATTATTAAGACCGATTCCCAAACTTAAGCCCAAAATTGTACCAAGTAGAACAATACTCATACCAATGCCTGCAGCTACCACCAGCGTCATTGATTTGAAAGGATTTGGATTTGTGGCACTTCCAAAGGAACCTTCTTCCACTGAATACATTACTGTATGATAAATCTAAGCGATCAAAAATTATATGTAATCATCCATTTATGTTAAACTAATAATATTGTGTTTTAACCTTGAATACTATTTACATGTAATTGATGAAACTAAAAAAGAAATCATTTATACAATATCTCTTACGATGAAAAGTAGTATAAACCACATACCACTTCTAGCTCTAATGTAATGATGTTTGTATGAGTTATTTTGTTAATTATCACATTTTTCGATCATCAAAAACGACCTTGTTTACGTCTCAGTATCTATTTAATGGATTCTGTTCACATTATTATAAAAATATTTATTAATTATGGTCTATTTATGTGACCAGGATCTGTTTTTTTTTCTTTTAATGTAATTCGAACATACTTTACACGCACCAATAATTTTGTTCTGCAGGCTTAAAATTACACAAGTATAAAGGACGCAAAAACAGAGTAGTTCTACAATATTTTCTACGTATAATACCATAGTCGTCATATATATTTTATGTCTCCTGAAAAAATTCTTTTAGTAGCAAGAACTTGTTATATTTTCTTACGGTTTTTAGATACATTATAGATAGGTACTATTGGTGTTGTGTTCCACAAGAAGTCTCATTACACCTATTTTATAATTTCAACTATGTATGAAATT